GTTTGCTTAATAATAATTAAGGTTCCAACTTTAAGTTTTGGCGGATAGAAAAAGATATATTTATTTACTTATGGATAATAAAATGGCCTCACGATGCATGGATAGATTCCTTTTCTATGGACCAACCACATTGTAATGTTGTGATAAAAGATGGTAGCAACACTGAGACCAGAAATTCTTTGCTCTTTGCCATGTTTATTTCTTCATCTTGTTTAAAAGCCTATTAGAAAGTGGAGCTTTTTATGTAGCCATGGTTTTCTAGTGCATTTCGTCACTAATTCATTGTTGCCTCAAGTCTCAGTATAACTCAGCTCCCAAAGATAGAGACAATATGCAAACTACAGCAACAGGAATTACCATGGTCACATCAGGGAACATACCTATCTAACACAACACATGTTGTATTGATAGTTGTAACCTCTTGTACAACCACCTTCCTTACTGGAGTCCCAGCAGTAATTTTGACTTCAATGTCGACCTAAGCACAGTTTAATAATTTGTATTAAGAGAAAAATTAAAAGGGAGATAGAAATATATAAGAAATAAAATGATTGCTTTAGAAAGCAACATATTGAGATGAGATAGCTAGAAAGACGAGTAAAAGAATAGCTTGGGCATTTAATTAAAATGCCACTCCATCCGGGTGATAGACCCTTCACTTGCCTCCACGATGACTATAGTCTACTACTCTCTCTCTCTCGACTAGTTGGTACAAAGTGGATGCTTTTCATAGCTTAGGTCATGCAAATGCTTCTTAGGTAAGAAGGCCATTCAAGGAAAATCCTGGAATTCCTAGATATTCCGCCTGGATGGATAAAAATACAATCTATATAAAGCCCAAGTATATAGGGGAGACAGTGTCCACCTAGTGCCAGTTAAAATATATAAGGAAAACGGGACTTAAATGAAAGTGCAAAAGGAATGTTAATCATTGCTTCATCAACATATAAAGTGGAGTCAACATGATACAAATAACAGTCCAGCCCTGATTCAGCCTGTAGGATTTATGAACCTTGAAGTCTCTTGTGATATTTATTAAAGTAACTGAAATAAAGGAAGGGATGGTAGCAGAAATAGAAAGATGTTCATGATCCCATATACAATTTAAGAATATAAAAAAGAAAGTTGTCAAGAAGAAACCAGAATATATATTTATCGTAGCCCCCTATCCTGATTAAATAAGACAATATTTAAAAAGCAGTTTCTAAACCAAGTTTGAATACTTAAGGGAGTTGTAATGTTTATTCCTATAGCGAACATTTGAAAATTACTTTTTCAAAAGCAAATCTGTCCTGCATCCGATAATTTTTTACATTTTGTTGAATATGCTACCGTACTGATTTGAACTAACTCAAATATACTGTATTGAAGCACATCAGATCCAACCCACATGTCCCCAGTCCCCAGAGAAGCAAACTTGCTACACCAGTGGGTCTTAAAAATTTCCAGGATTTCATACGTATGACTTCTATGGATACTTCTAGCCACATTTCTAAGATATATCAATTAATAGTTTCTTCCAGTACAGAACTATTATGAGGATCAAGTGTATACATTACCCCTTCACCTTCACAGTCTTGGGCACTTTGCATGAGCATGTTCACATATGCATCAATCTTCTTTGTTACTTCTTTTTCGATCTCACGTTTATGAGTTCCAAACATGGACAGTGGCTCTGCTTCCATTTGATAACCCACTGTGCACAAAAATGGGTTAGGAAACCATACTGTAGGCATGCATAATACTACACAAGATAAGTAGTCAGCTAAAGACAGTGGTCAATCGCACATTTAACCGGTCAGGTAATAATGGAATACCACAGTTCCACATTTACCATAAAAATGGCATAATATAGAAATTACATATTCTTTGTACACACTTCAACAACCACAGGAAAGCAGAACCGCTCAAAATATAGCACTACTGAAGTTATAAACTGTCAAGACCCAAAATATGGCTCCTTAGTAAAGTGACCTTTTATCACAACTTAACCGCAATATAAAAAAATAATCCTTGATGACTAAAACCATTCTATTTTAACCCATTAATTATCAAAAGGGAAAGTTAATCTGGTTAATGGGAATGGTGAAAATTGAAAGCCGCTATAACGCATTAAAAAGCAACAAGAAAGAGTAAAAAATGACTAAAAATATATCCTTGTTTACTTGTAATGGAACTAACTGATAAGTGAAGAAAGTAGAAATTTATTGTTCATTAGTTTCTAAAGTGTGCAGGACACTAAAAGCAAGCTTAAACATAATAAGCTACATCAACATCTTACTCTCATCTAATTTGTGAAAAAAACTCTATATGGAGAAAATAGCATCTAATAGGTCAAAGTGCAACCTCACAGAAAGCATAATACATCTCCATATAAGCTTAAGACGGAAAACAAATTTGTTCTTCCACATGTTTAATCATCGCCTCGATTTGGGTCCATTCACTTTAATTGAACATATAAAAGTTTAGGCCAATATAATGATTTCAAAAGTTTGAGTTGAGCCTAAAGTTGGATCATATTGTTCGGAGGACTCATCACCATCATCATCATCATCTGTAGAGTTATGAAATACCACAGGAATAGAAAACTATAACCTTACTAATCAAGTAAAACTTGTCAAATACAACCCTCTAATCATGGATTCAAAGGTAGCTACAATTGGTAAGATTTTCCTCTTCAACATAAGGAAATGAAATCACAACTATAAGAGTTACTGTCACAAAATTTAGTCAAAGATGACTAAAACGTTGTATCGCCATCCAACTCGAGCACTAAAAGCAACAATCATCAAATAGAAAAATGAGATAATTGCATCAAAAAGTGAGGCAAGACACTCACTAGGATGAAGATATTTATGCAAAACCCCAAGCACAATAATGGTATCGCCCGCATGAAGGATGCTACCCTGTGATCTGATCTCATCAGTAATGCGCTTGATTTCCTGCTCAGGGTGATCCCTGGTTGCATCTAAAGCTATAACAATACGACCCGTTATGAGACTATCAGCATCTGTATGACTATTATTGTTACCCATAGATGATGCCATTTCTTGCAATTCAAATTTCCCAACAAAACAAACACACAAAAATAGCCCTTCAAAAAACAAAAGATATAAAAAATGTCAAGCACCAATTAGGGTTTACTTCTTTGGCAAATTCAAAAGTACACTCAATTGATGAAACTCAAGCACATATTTATAAAGGACTTGAAGCTGCAGGTAAAATAATCAAATTTTGCGCCAATAAGATTGTTCGATAATGAAATCCTTTTAAATTTGTTGAAACGATTGGAGTTTAGAAAATTGTTCGTCTCAGCACCCAAAAAGAGTGATTGAGGGGAATAATTAGAGTATATTCTGAAGGGATATTCTTGAATATTTTTCTGGCGGGAAATGGAACGGCCGGCCATGACGGAACAAAAAAGAAGAAATTGTGCGAAAAATAGCAACAAGACAAGGAAATACTGTATCCAATTTGGCTGGGCATTTCTTGTATCACCTATTCACCAACATTTTTCATTTTCATCTGAAACTCCGATGAAACAAATCAATATTCGTATATACCATTACTTCTTCATTCAAAAGCTCTGCAAAATTTGAAAAATCATCGCATTGATTCAACTTCACAATCATAAATTTTAAATCTTAAATCCAGTACAAATTCCTTAGCTAATTGTGGAAAAAATGGACTTCACATTGTTTAATTTGATCTTATATTATATTTTGGAAGTACTCTTAAAGGTGATACACATAGTTCAACTTAATTAAAATGGTTATTGGAAGAACTGTGTTACACAAAATGAATCAGCTGGTCATATCTTTCTCATTTATGTACAAGGCATTGCATCATTACAGATCGAATGAATATACAGGTACACTTTCCTATTGAATTATATTCTTCATCTTCTATCTTTTCATGCTAACCTCCTGTCCAGCTCCTAGAAACTCTGATTCTATCGTGAATTCTTCCCCTTTAGGTAATAAATTGCAACATTAAAGGTGCTAGTGGCGGATTTTATACAGGAGAATTTAGAAATGTTGCACTAATAATCAAAACCACTGTCATAAAGTAATTTTTCAACTCTTTTTACTAGAATTTTTCCTAATTCCAAGAGTTCATCAATTGCCAAAAAAACAATGTTTAAACATTATAGGTTTTCAGCTGAAGGGAATTCAATTGAATTGGTAGTATTTTTTCCAAGTCACCTCTATTGTTGAGTGCAAGCAAAGCCCCTTATATTTTTCACTTGATGAAATATTCATAGAATTTATTCTTATTTTTTGTAGTCACTTATTTGCTCCGAATACGTTTAATTTCTGTGGATGAATGCCAAGAGATAATGAAAAAAACTGAAGCAAATTTGATGAAGAATGAAAGTCACTAATTTCTACCCAAAAAAAAGGTAACTATTCCATTTTATGCATGTCTGCTGTGTGAAACAAATACAGTTCTAACAGTTTTTCAGCCCAGCAGGCAATAGTAAGTATCGAATTTAATCGCCCTAGTTGATGACAGATACCAATGAATTTGAGTTCAGAATATAGCAAAACTATCAATTACCAAAAATTAATTATGACAACGGCAACAATATTCTGAAACAGAGGAAGTTGAATCTCCAGATATTACAAAATTCTGGATGGGACTTTAATGGATAGGGAAGGGGGTTCGAGCTGGTGTAGGGGAATAATTTACAAAATTTCACTAATAGGCACTTCCATAACCTGTTTGGGACCCAGGTGAGTTGATCGACTGACTGGACTAAAAGGGCACCTTGTAAGTTGTAACCCATCATCTAGAATAGGTTATCGCCCCTCTTGAGCTCCTGTTCCTTGTGCTACTGGGGATGTTAATTTTCAGCTCTGGGAAACACTTCATAAGTGGCAAATGTTTAAGGCTAGCATCATCGGTATAATTTATCACCATCAATCCTCTAGCATAGCCGGAGTCTAGCTCTGATATCAAAATACCTGAATATGCTACTGATGTCTTTTTTTTGAGATAATATGCTACTGATGTCAAAACTTCTCCGAGTAATGTGAGTGTTTGGCTCCTTATATCTAGAACAAACAATGATTGAAGAGTGCAGCAGCCTGCCTGCAACCAATTATGTCAATCAGTACGAGGAACACTGATTAATAGCCCCCTCCATCCAATTTGCTTGCCGCACTTTGACTAAGCATAATTATTAAGAGAAACACAAATATTTAGATATTTGTTGAAAAACATGTCCGTTATATTTTGACTTTCCATGCAGCAGAACGATACAAGAAGGAAAATTCTGTCCGGTAAAACATTTTGTGGTATTTCAAATGTACTAAAATGTTCACTCAAGGAAGGGAAACAACTTGTGGGACGTCTCAAAAGGAAAGTATCATAAGCACTTTTTGGACAGACAGATGTAACATATTTCCCAAAACAAATTTGGTTGTGCTATAATAATGAGTATGTTTCTGTATTGCATCTGCAGGAACTAAGCCATTAATGGCAAGTTACTCACTCCTGCTACGGTGAAGGTTGAGGAATAGTCACATGCTTACAACTCGGTGAGGCCAAAGGTTTAGTTTACCATCTTTATGTGGATTCCTAAGTTCACTGGGTCACTAGTCAAAGATGGTTTTTTGTTTGTCTTTTTTTTTTTTTTAATTTTGTTGCTTTTCTTGGGCTCATCTTTTAAAGTGGTTCTTGTATGACACATTTAAAAAATTTCCAGTTGGAGGATTTTGGCCACAAGAGGATTTAGTTAATAAATCTAAGAACTCATCGTGTCAATTTCAGCTGCATACTGGGATATCTAGAAGCGAAAGAAACTGACACTTTTTGGGAAGCAAAGCAAAATAGAAGGGAGTTGCAAAAAGCTTAGTTTTGTAAAATGTTACCTTCTGTGAACTGTATACAGTTTCATGATGTCCATGGGTAGAGTCCTCCCTATAATATTTTAGGCCATTTTAAGTTAAACAGTAGGCATGCCCCTTACTTTTTCTTAGAAAAAAGTTAACAGTAGGCATGCATTTAATATCCTATAGTCAAGTTTAAGAAATGTAAAGGAGTTGGGATGTCCGCTCTTAGCTTATGATAAAGCAATAGCCCACCTTCTTTATTTTGATCTTTGCTTTTAGTGAACAGGTCAGGCTCTACACCTAACACCCCACCCCCTTTCAGGTTCAATAATGCTCATTTATTTTTATTTTAAATGGGGCAAGCATAATGCAAGCTTTACCAGCCAACCTGATCTGACCTTCGAACTCAGGTAATCACAAATGATGTTACATCCTCATGGAATTGAAGCAGACAAAATAAATCCATAGCAGCACCATATATGCCGTTCAGAGACTAGTGGCAAAACCTGCATCGGATACTTGGATCTATAGGAAATGACTGGCCATCAGAAGTTTTGGCTTCTCCTCGTCTTCTTCAGTTTCTAGTGATACAGCAGCTTTCATTTCCTCGACCCTTTTATCCCATATGCCATCTATTAGCTTCCATGTTTCATCACTAACTATCTGGGTCTGCATAAAAGCATGAAATGACATCAATACATGAGTATTCATCATAAAGATCAATTAATAGAGCATCCATCATGCTTACCTCCATAGGTCGAGGTGCACCAAAAGTTGCAAATCCAACATTTCCAGGTGCAAACGTCACCCTCCCTGGAAGTGAAACTCCATGGACTCCCCACCGTCCAGCATATATAAGGGATCCATATTCATTGATGGGACTCACAGTAGGCTGACAAATGAAAAAACTTTAAAACTATAAATGCCATTACACGACAACAGGCAAGTAAAAGAGTACTATGTAAGAATCAACTGTAACCCACTGCAGGCCATGATAGTAGTTTGTTCATTGGTGATTTACCCCCCTGAATAATCTTAGTTTATATTCCATCAAGTAACTTTTTTTGCATATATGCAGCAATAGGATTTGGCACCCAGGTGCAGCTTCCAAAGCTATCGAGAGCCATGATAATAGTAAGTTATATAATGGGAAAAGGAAATGGGTATTAGAAGGGGGGGAACAAGAAAAAGCCGCCTTAACTAAGAGCATCTGCAGTACACCCCCTCACCACCACTTCACAAGCCTTCAACTTTCTAATCTCCCTACTTTCCCTGAATCACCACATTGCCCCATCCCCCTTTGAGTCTCCTCTCCTTGTTCCTGTCACTGTGCTAATCCTCACCCAACATCAATTGCAATTTAAATCTACTGAAAAAGGTGAGAAAATAAGCTACCCAAAAAAAAGGGGAAGGGGTTGCGGCAATTGATCTAGTCACCTGGACAAATATATAGGATGCTAACAGCAGCAGAATGGTGAATCAAACAAAAACAGCTACGATTAATCATAATAAGGTAGGTCAGATTGTGCTGTGCCACATTGCATTTTCCAAATGAACAGGTGTGCTAGTTCTCTTAAACGATGCAACGTGTAACCCAAGAGCCTGGACACAAGTCCAGGTGCGCACCCAGGTAAAGTGACTTACCTGAATGTTGAGCCATCTTATAACACTAAGAAGCATATAGAGAGAAGGATAACCTCTAGATGCAGACACCAAAGCTGTGAACGAGCAAAGGCAATCCGTCAAGAAAGGGGATTCATCCCCAAAGTTCTATTCTTTGATCAACCGAATTACCAGCTTTATCTCAAAAACCGCTCTAGTGAAGTGGTTCGTGAAGGTTAAATCAGACTAGTCAATCAAGAGAGGGGAAAAGGCAAGAAGCGAAAATCCTACTCTCTTTATCGGGAAAAAAGGCAAGAAGTGGTTGCCTGTATGCCTCAGACAGAAAACAGAATGGCATTTTCTGAGGAACCGGTGTTCGAGATCTCTAAACATGCAACATGTTTCCCAATCCCAAGAGTTTCGATACAAAAGCAGTTATGCCAAATCTACTCCAAAGACTGCCAAACCATAATCCTCCAAAATATTTTATTAATGAAATAAGCAGGCCCATCTTAATTTTTTTCCTTATCTTCGGGAGGGAAGAGAAGAGAATAAAATTGCATTAGTCTTTCCTCAATTATGTCAATAATAAACACTGGAAAGAGAAGTAAAGAATCACCTGAGGACTTTTAGGTGAGCTTTTGTAAATGCTCCAAATTTCATCGGCTTTGATCTCTCCCTTCTCAAGTAACACATCTGATCAACAGACACACAAGCATAAGCCAATCAACGATAAGTGGCCAATACCAGTTGCACAATTTTACAAGTCTTACTCATGGACTCGGCGCCAATAAAGGGAAGACAATGCTTAAAGTGACTAGACAATCAAGGTTAACTAACTTTACCTGTAATTGTCTCTACAGCATCGTGGTTCTCCTTTAGAATAGATAAGCATTTCTCCACGGCATATCGCATGTACTCATCTCTTAGTGCTTCAATTTTAGCAGGGAGCTGCAAAACACAATAACTTGTATTAAAAATTAGATGTTTATTAGATTTAACATTTACAAGATCTAGTATATACTGACATTTGGTAAGAGATCTCTCTGGTATCTGTAATAAGCCTTTCCCAAGGCAGTCAACCCTGTCTGCAGTATCAAAAATTCTGCAAGCCTGGAAGCTTCTAAAGTTGCTTTTGCAGAGATCCAGCATAGATTGTCAACTCCAAACATTTCTTCCTCAATTACTCTGGCTACAGATTCAATCTATCAGTGTCCCATGTGAAAGAATCAAACCAAGAAAAGGAGGAAAAAACAAAGATACAAAAAGAGTGGCCTTTTAAGCAGATTGATATTGTACACATAAGGGGTATTTCCATGGGTTTGCCTTGGCATCATGTTCATGCCATTGTATTGAATCTACATTGTCTAACAGTGCATATTCTCTCAAAGCAAATACCAAACTCAAGGGGATCATGAATAAACAAGAGAACAAGTACAGCTAAAACTGCAGTCTAATATCCAGAAGTCTCCTTTATATTAGTGACTTACCGATTTGAAACACATACTTTGGAAAAACGTCATTTCACTATATGAGACGTACAAGTCTAGTCTAGTATATAACAAGGTAGATACTCAAATTTGTGTCAACTATCAGAGTATTAGACTTATGGATCATATTATGCAATTTTGAAAAAAAAAACAATAATAAAGCATAGATTTAGGACTCATTTATTTGCACTTAACAAGAGTCTGAATCTGAATTATTCAGATCTCAGCCCATTAAGCACATTTGTTTATTTGAAGTATATATCATTGTTCACTTTAAATATCATTGTGCACTTAACCGTCTTATAGTAAATATCATTGTTGGATATGAACAGTGAAGACGAGAAACAGAGATTTCAAACATAAGATCCATAAGACAAATTCACGTCAAGTGTTTATAGAACAGAAATACTATTTTATTTCCCACTTACGAGCACATGCACGGACTATTGAGTTCACATAATCTGCTTTCCTTTTAAACACTCTGCCTCCAATCTCCATGAATTGCATATTGGGGTGACTACGAATGGATTTGATATCCGTCTGTCATTATATCGAAACCAATTGGCACAAATGTGAGCAAGTCACAAATTTAAGAAATACTAAGATTGACTAATATGATTATGATATTTATAGGAAAACAACCTCAGTGAATGGTCGGTAGGGATCTGGAAGGTAACAAGCAAGAACTGCAACAGCAGCTTCTCTGTAAGCTAGTCTTAGTGTTAACTCCTCAGGGACCTCAGTACTATCTTCTTGACCCGTTTCAAATGTGCCTTTTTGCTGTAATATTAAATGATATAACATGAACATAATGTACTAAATCAAACATACAACAGATGCTGCATATCTCAATTTTTACACCTACCCTCTTTAATGCCTCAAGGAGTTCATCTCGTCCTATATAGTCCAAGTCTTTCCTTGCGGTCAAAATTCCAGCTTCATTCCTGCACAGGAGGAGGTGTGAGCTAGTCCCCCCAAATGCAATCAAAAGGAACTATAGTTGAGGATTATGTACAATATATTTTGAAGTTCAGCTCCAGTAAAATCTTCTGTTTGCTCTGCAATTTCCTGCAATAGAGTGTCCTTTTCCCCTTCTGACTGGAAAAATTTGTTCCGAGCATGCACCTGAGAGAATTGAAATGAGAATCAAAACAAAACATACTGACACAAAAACTCCAGACAATCTTCAAAAGATTAACAGATGTCAATCACTAGTGTGCAGCGACACATACCTTCAATATGGCCAATCTACCGTCTTTTGAGGGCAAACCAACCCTAATAATCTTGTCAAAACGACCCTTCCGTAGCAAGGCAGGATCAAGAATATCCAATCTATTGGTTGCACCAATAACTAAGACCTGATAACCCAGCATTAACAGCAAACCTAAGAAGCTCTCATAACTTCTTTACGGGAAACCATCATCTTAACTACAATGTACCTGTGATGTTGACACTTTAAATCCATCCATTTCTGTCAGTATCTGAAGAAGCCCTTGTTCCCTCTCTGCACCACCCTAAGAAAAAAAATACATGTCGTTTACTGTATAAAGTTATTCCAGTACAGCCCATATGTATATTTATTAATGAAATTAGTGAGGGAACCAGCTGAAACATTGGAGAAGCACTCTAGAGAAAAAGGATTTTAGTATTAGAAGTAATACAGAATATACACATTCTAGATTTAGCTACCCAAAACAAGAATGACATTGAAATGAGATTAGACGGGATTGATACCTAAATTTAGACAATTCAGATATCTAAAACTCGGTATTCTGGGCGAACGGTATAACAGATAAGATAGAATGGCTGAATAGAAGGGTGCAACAGGAAGATATTTATGCTGGTGAAAGGCAAATTTTGTAAAAGAATTGTGAGACCTGCAATTCTACGTAGATTTCCAAATATGCTGGTCCATAAGTATGACATTATGATTATTAAAAAGTGTTAAGAACGAGATGAGATACACCTAAAGTCATGTGAAATGAAGTTGTTTGCCAACAATGTCAGTGTCCATGCAACCTATAGAAAAACTTACAATATAGGCAAAAGATCTTTATAAGCGATATCAACTTGTTGGGATTAAGGCATAGTAGTGTTGATACACTTACATCAAGTCTAGTGTTGGTCAAGACTCCAGTCTTTTTAGATTGTTTAGAGGAGAACTGTATGCTGGTAATGCAGATAACCTCCAGCGTCAGGAAACCCCTAATTTATATGTAAAGATAAGTTATTGAAAGGAAACAGCTCCAACGGAGCAGACCTATTTCCAAATCCAACTAGTTCGGGAGTGAATTACGGTTACTGTTGTTGTAGTAGTGATAATGTCTCCAACAAATTATTTAATATTGCATCTGTCGATACAAAAATGGTGAATAATAGCCGAAGTAAAGAAGATCATCAAATTTACAAAGGAGCACCTGAAAACAAACTCTCCACTAGATGTGCTGAAGTTAATCTACGTCCCTTAATTTAAACCCTTGCCCCCAAAAACTCGCCCTCTCTTTCTTTCCTTTCCGGTTTGTTGGTTGTATGGGTTTCAAACTAAAGTACAGAATAACATGTAGGAACAGAGATAGAAGAAGGGTATGGAAACATATGCAAATGGGTGTAGACTTAAGATTGCATGCATCCAAGTTACGTATGAACTTAAACTTCTTTTCATACAATAATTACCAGCGAAAAGTAATACCTCAAAACCGAAAATTGCTTCTGGGAGAATAATTTCAAATATGCAAAATGAAAAAAAAAAGAATAATATGTGTATCATACCCCACCAATATCTGGTCCACCACGTTTGCTGCCAATTGCGTCTATCTCGTCAATGAAAATAATAGAAGGAGCAAATGACCTAGCACTGGAAAAGAGATCCTTCACACGTGAAGCAGCCACACCAACAAACATCTGCATAGATGTGAAAGGTTAGAAGCTAGAAATGCTGCCAAACTAAAAAGAGAAATTCCTGAATCAAATATTGGAGTGCAAACATAGATAGTATCCACATATTATGGAAGTATAGAAGGTTAGGCTAAGGGCCTTACGAAACATGCTTCTGTTCTTTTCTACTTCCTCCCACTAATTTTTCCTATCTTTGGTTACACAGTTGAAGGTTAGACTGTTAAGAGTATATTTCCTGAAGCCACCAACTCAGTTTGATAAGGAGAGCAAAAGATCCTGATTTTTTAGAGAATGGGTACACTATTTTGAGGACATGCTTGCTGCACCTCTATTACAGACAAACAAACAAGGAATTCTGACTAACAGAGCACACCCAAACTTCACCGCACAAAGGAGAAGCACAGATAACTGTCTACCTAAACATAGTGGCAAGGGATATAAAGAAGGTGGAAAATTCTATCACCATTTTTGGACCCACATGCACTTTGAAATCAGCAATTCAGTGGTCTCAAATATTACCATTTTCAATAATATCAAAGCCTTAGACTTCCGCATGAACAACACAAGGTGTATTTATTACAAAATAGAACGCAACACTCTCATGGAGATAGTAAGGAACTTGTACACAATATTCTAGTAAACAAGCTCTTCGGAATAGAAGACGATGGATCCACTACCCAATTCATCCACTTTAACCACCTCCTCTTTATACTCAAAGGAAGTGATCCTTCTCCTCCACATTTACTTCCACTTCTCAAATCCTTGCTCTTTACAATCCCCAACTAAGTAAATTGAGTGACCATCTCATCTTCAAACTTAAACTATTAGAGAGAGCACACTTTTTATAACTCTATTATTATGTCCAACACGCCTCCTCACATTGTGCTAGATTCTTTTTCAAGGGCCAAAATACAAGGATAAAATCACTTTTTGAGTGGCAGAGAAATCTGAACCATGATATCTTAGCTGATTTGATACCATGTTGAATTTTATAATCATCTTAATCTAGTATTTTGGGTTGGGCTTTCATACTCGATCTACAACAATTGGTATTAGAACCAATTGGAGGGAATGCATCATCATCTCCTTGTATAGGCTGGGACAACATCATAAGAGCTAACTTTTGAGGTTGATTATTTAAGCACAAGGTCCACTTTTTAACCATGAAATCAGAGCTAACAGAACTCGTTTTTACAACCGCTTTCTACATTCATGTTCTATGGCACTTGACTAATCTCTCTCAATTTAGGCTCATCAAGCCAGTAGCTTTCTCTCTTCTTGTTCTATCGTTATAGCTTCTCTCTCTCAATACAGCCCATGGAGCTATTCTGGGCTTTTATATATATATATATATACATATATATCTCAATACAACCCATCAAGCCACTAAAACTGTTGCAGATACACTCATTAGCATGTTGAGCCTCATTTGTCTCCCTCTACTTCATATTCACTCCTACTGAGACTCCTCTCTCTCTCTCTAACTTAAAAAATACTAGTAACAAAAAAAATTCTTTAGTACACGTGTGGGATGGAGTTAGACAATGCACTTCTCCCTCATTGTTTGTGCAAGGGTAGAAAATGTCCAAAGTCACTTCACCCTTAACCTAAAGGTTTTGGATTGGATGAACAAATACTTCCACACCAAACATATGTTAGCCGTTAGGTAAATTTTCCTAGACTGTACTGTAGAAAGTAAAGACAATGTTCACACATATTAGATGTTTTACATTTGCTAACTGATACATACCAAGACTGACACACATAAGGTTATTATTTCTGAGGAGTTTTTGGACATTAACAATTGAATCATGCCCAGGGAGACCACAACATAGGGCTGGCCATCAGAGAATCATCCATATGCTTTACAAGAATCCATATTAGAGTATATCCCTGCTTTTGTGGGGAGCTAATATTGATTGTTGATGGTCCGCAATTCAGCATTGTAGCATAGCAAATATAGCGCAGAAGGCAGGTAAATGTTTATGAAAAGTTTATTAGCAGGAAGGAATGACTTTAGACATTCAATCGAGCTGTGCTAAATTATAGCATCCAAAAAGATATCCCACAATGTTTCTTTCAGATCTAAAGGACCTATAGACAATAAGCTTAAACAAAATTGAAAAGTGAATAAGGTTTATATATATAGGTTAATAAACAAAAAAAAGAAACAAATGAAAAAACTTGCAAGTGTTTACAAGAAATAAATACAGGTTCAAGAAACAGAAGCTAATGAAAACCTTGTTATCTTTTCTTATTCTTTTTTGAAATGGGAAGTAAAAAGACCTTGGTATCTTCAACAAGCAATTGTTTGAATCAGCAGGGAAATCAGGAAAATGTTACATCTGGTTTTGCCAAACATAACTGGAATGTAGCTTTCATTTTGGAGTTCATTATAGCAGATATAGTCATACATGCTGTGGTTAACCCTGTAAGCGGATGTTGTTGCCCAAAACAATAGTCAATTAAAGAAACTTTATTAATCTTGCAGCTGTTAGAATTTACTCTTCCATTTAAGTGTGTCGGAATTGCAAGTACTTCTCACCTCAACAAAATCAGTACCATTAGCAGCAAAAAAAGGTAATCCTGCTTCTCCAGCTATAGCTTTTGCCAGAAGTGTTTTGCCAGTTCCAGGAGGACCATGGAGAAGCACACCTTTTGGGCAATAAATCCCTTTGTCTTGAAACTCTTCTTCATTCCTCAATATTCGAACAATCTCTTGAAGTTCTCTCTTAATATATTCTTGGCCAGCAAAATCATCAAAAGTTATACCAGTCTTTTCTTCTGCTGATATGAATTTTGCACTGATGGCAGATGGTAAAAAGAAAATTAGATACGCACAGTGTTTTGTTATTTAAGTAATAAGATTTTATTGATGTTTGGGAAAAACAAACGCCCATATACAAGAGATATGCCAAAAAGTAGAAAATCTACAAAAACAAATGTTTTTTCTACAAAAGGCATTTAATCTCCTATACCTAAGGGGATCTCATGGGTGCACCAAAAATCAGTAAGGGATGAGGGCTACTCCTCAACTAAACTAAATTTATCACCATCCCTTCAAAAGCTCTCCTATTTATTTCTCTCCACACAATCCACTAAGTGCTAATGGAGCTACGTTCCAAACCCTATGTCTTTTCCTCCGTCTGCCACAATTACAGCTGGTCAACATTGCTTTCAAAGTGACTGGCATCACCCATTGTACTCCAAACCATGCTAGAGTTTCCCACCATAATCTCGAGAGTCGAGACAGACCAGCAATGAAGAAGAAGATGGTTAACATGCCCAGGCCCTTGCACATAAACCACCAACTGACATAAGAGAGTTTTCTCTTCCTTAAATTCTCGGTGTCATGATTACCCCCTCTAGCTACTAACCAAGTGAAAGAAAAATACACATCTCTTGGAATCACAGAAATCCAAATCAAACCATAAGGATAGTCAATCTCCTCCCTGGTCAACATCTTCTCTTCTTTTTACAAGGTAAATAATTTTATTAATATTTGGGGGAACCCTATATACAAGCCATACACCAAAAAAAGAGAACCTACACCAAAATATGGTTCTCAACAGAAGAGATCCAATCCTCTATACAAATTGGGACCTCGCAAGTACCAAAAAGAAACTAGGGACGAAACACTACTCTTCATTTTAACAATATCAAGTTCCACGCCTTCAAAAGCCCTCATATTCCTCTCTTTCCAAATGACCCACATGATTGATAAGGGGGCAATGTACCAGGCCCTCGGGCTTTCTTTCCCCTTTTATGAGTCCAACTTTGCAAGGCCTCCCTCACTGTACCCGGCACGACCCATTGCATCTCAAACAAATTTAGGGCCACCCTCCATAACCGACTAGCCACCTTATAATGCAAAAAAAGATGATCTACACTTTCACCTTCCCTTTTACACATGAAACACCAACTAATATAGATGACTCTCCTCTTTCTTAGATTCTCCGTTGTTAATAACACACCCCTTGCCGCCAACCATACAAAGAAACAAACCTTCCTTAGTGCTCTAGCGATCCAAATGGAGTCTTGGGGGTAAGTACCTTCCTCTCTCACTAGCAACTTCTTATAAGAAGAGCTAACGGTGAATAAGCCATCACCACTCTCTTGCAACCTCCCTACATCCATTAAGTTGTTTGGTGTGTCTAGGCTATACAAAAGCTCTATCAATTGTGAAATTCTTTCATCTCACAATGATTTAGGTTCCTTTTGAATCTTAAGTCGCAGTGGATAACACCCTCATGAGACCTACAAATTAGTTGGATTGTCCTCTCTCGCTGGCCAGATTCACGATATAAATTAGGAAAGGCTTCCTTCAACTCGATCTCCTTACACCACTTATGTGTCCTCAAACTAATCCTACTTCCGTCCCCCAACCTTGAAAGAGATATGTCCACAAAAATGTTCTCACCCCTTCATGATACTCCTCCACAAACCATACCTAAACAAAGTAACAATGTTTTTGATACTTGATCCACCATCCATTATACCATATTTATCCACCGCCCCCCTCCAAAGAGCATTCTCCTCCATCCCGAATCTCCATATCCACTTCCCTAACAAAGCTTTATTGTACATCCTGAAATCTTTCACTCCAAGCCCTCCCCATTTCTTTGGATATGCTAGCAAGACAGAAAGAAAGTATCCCAAAGACTTCAGACCCATTCCACCACCTATTTGCTATATCCACATAATCTAGTTCTCTGAGCTACATGTTCTTGAATCTAAACGGAATGCGCAAACTGCTCCTTCTACTCCCATCTAGCAAGATAAGCGCATGATCAGGTCAATCTAGGTAATGGGATTTGCAACACATTTGGGACCAACTCCTCTCAATCAGTGGATACCAAGAATCTAACAAGTCTGATTTTGATGTGGAATCACCTGCTCTGGCCCAAGTAAAATTTGCCCCTGTCAAAGGAAGATCAATAAGATATTGGTTATCAACAAACTCTAAGGACTCCTCCATCGCCCTAGAGATCACCCTTGCAATCCACTCTCTCCTCATGAAATCTTATAGTGTTAAAATCCCCTCCTAACACCCAAGGGACCTCCCACCCTATCATAATAGTGGATATCTCTTCCCATAAACTCTCTTTACTTCCCTCCCCCACCGGGCCGTACACCCCCCTTCCCCCGAAGCATAGCTCCTCACCACTTCCTAAGATTTTACCCGCATTGCGATCATATACTCCCCTTACTTACCTCCATCACCTAATTTTCTGTCATCCCCAAAAACTTTGATATCCCATGCATTCCCTAATGCCGAAACCCAATCATATTTTGCCCATCCACCACCCACCTCAAGACTTCTCTTAAAGGCACCAAAGTCCTCCCCCCCCCCCCCCCCCCCCCCCCAAACTCCCTACTCCCATTTTAGTAATAGCTCTCTTATTGGGTCATTCATCCCCCTTTCACATTCTAAGAAATAATTTTTACTTCTATAATCAACAACTTTACCCTCACACACATCCTCCCATCTCATGTACCCCCACTCTACTCCTACTCCTACATCTCCTCTTGAACACCAATAGGTTAAAATTTACCCTCACCAGCAGTCCTCCAATCTCCTATACCCCCGCTCCTACTCCTACTCCTACCTCTCCTCTTGTACTCCAGCAAGTTACCTTCTTCCTTTTTATCCTTCCGCAAACTCCTTTCCTTACCCACCCTCATGTCAACAATCTCCTTTTCTCTAACCCCTTTTGCCTCTTCTTCAATGTCTCGAAGGAGTTCTAACACCCTACCCTCCTTCCCTTCAAAGACCACCCCCGAAAATTCCCCGAACTTCAAGTATTTCTCTCCCTCCCTACTAATCAAGCTTCTACCTTCCTCAAAACATGCTAATGGCAACACATCATCTTCCTGAACATCATAACAGCCATATTTAGTACCCAAAAACAGTTAACAGTTACCAAAAACATGACTAGCATCCCTTTCTCCCTTAGAAGAAGCAAAAATGGAGTTGGAACCAGTAAAGCAGGTTCAAAATTCAGGATCTGAGATTTTCCAGCCGGACCCAAGGCATTTTCCGGCTCCGGCGACCTCACCGGAGGTGAACCAACCCTAGAACCACTTCCATCCCGGTTCGCCCAGCAACCTAGAGTGGTCGTCACCCTTCGAAAAGTCGGAACGAGTTCCCTTCAGCCCTAGATTTACATAAACCAGCTTGCCGAAACTGGAATTCCGGTCGCCTGGCCTTGTGAGAACTCCAGATCTAACGATCTACCAGCCCCCTGCTGCATGGCTGCTTCTCATAAAATGATTTGACATAAAAGTCTCTATTGTTCCCCAAACCCCATTCCCATACATCATGTCCCTTTGGTGAGCATCCTTGTTTATGCAACAACTCTAACAAACTTAGGAACTCCACCTCTTCTTATTTCCAAAAAATTTCTCCTAAACTGCAAATCACAATAGCCTCCCCATCTTGTAATCTCCAAACTCGCTAGATTGTCATCCCCTTTCGGCTTGAATGTTATATAAGTTGGGGAATGCAATGTTCAAAGCATTATCCACGCACCACTTATACCTCCAAAATCTTACTCTCCTCCTATACCCTACTCTAAATGCCATATTGTCGCTAAATTCTACCCATGTGAACTAGACATACATATGAACTTTGAACTTGTGCCGCATTTCGGGTTTCTCACTTTCATAGATAAGTTCAAAGTCATCAGGGAAATTGGTCCTAAAGGACAACTATACCTATCAAAGCTCACAGTAAAACCCATCTGATTCAAAACATACATAATTTCAAGCTTTACAGTGACAAAGACGAAACTTGATAAAATGCGAGGAAAGGTATAAATCCAACTTCTCTAGAACATACAAAATTGAAAGGAAGTTTACAGTCAATAAACATATAACAAGCAGTGAAAGTTTTCAATTACCGGCTTTTTCCTAATGAACCAAGGGCACGCTGCTTGAGTGGCTCTTTTATCTTTTTGGGAGGGCTGCCCAAATCGCAAGGTATTAATTTTGAATAAATTGGTCTCATCTTATTATCAATCCAAATGTACAATAGAACTGAAAGTGCCAGCCGCATAGACCACACAACTGCTGTCGCGACAGTAGAATAAACTTCAGCAGGGATGTTATTCACATTATACACATCAACATTTACAAGTTGTTGATGCAACTTCCTCCAAACATCATTCCATCTATCTATTGGCATCCGGTCAACGACATGACGCTTGAAAACAATTTCCTTTTTAGTGTCCCCTCCTGAACGATTTGTTTTTCCATCCTTGTAATATGGAAGAATCACTACAAATAAACCGGAAACCAAATAAACAAACTTGGGAATGCGGTAAGATACCATCTATTAGATATTGCATAACTGATTCCTAGAGAAAAAACATCTTGATAAGTGATAACTAAGTTGATAAGGTTAGATATTGTCAGAAATTAACAATAGATTGTAACAATGACTTCCAAGCCTTTCACTACCTAGAATTTTATCGGAGATCCCCAAAGGTACTAATACCTAGAATCATATTCTTTTAATTTGTAACCTTTTACCTAAATGCATGCACAATAGTTTAGTTGGGTGATTTGTCAATTTTCTTGGGAGGTGCAACCATACAAGAAGTGCTCCAACCACACACACTTACCCAATTTTCACCATGTGTATTGGACGGAAAAGTTGTCTGCTACCTAGAAATAAATTCTTTTAATTTGTTATGATGCTCAATCGCAGGAAGACCTTCTATTGCTTAACATATGGTGTACAAAGCTCAATCAAGCATCATAACAAAATGAAAATAAGAAACACATAGAGAATAGTTAACCTGAAACTGTCTGTCCGTAGTTCGAATACTCCATAAACTGCACATTGTTTGCATTCAGAAGGTTTTGGAATTCACTGTAGTCTATCCTATGAGAATTTTCAGGATCCCACTCTGTCCCCTTCAGCTTTCCCTGCATGGCCAGCAATTTCCTACTCCATTCTGAAGCCAGCACAAGCTGCCTCTCTAATTGAACATTTGCCTTTCTTTCAAACTCCTCTAAATTATTTATCCTTTCACGCTCTGCCTCCTTCAGTTTCTGAGATCCCATTAAACAAATCATAGCATTAAAACTAATTTCTTGTATGTAACCTGAAGTAACAAGTCATAATTATTTAGTTGTTGTTAACCCTTAATTGTTTTACCACGTACTTCTAATCCGAATAATGCAAAATATGGTTATCTCAGGAATCATAATCATACTTGAGATTGTTCAATAAATTCCCATAAACAGATAAAAATTCTGCAACCAACTAGAGCATCCGGTAACCAAAAGGAATAACTCTGTATCAAGTTCCACGGAATTCATTCAACAAAACAATTCATGCAATCTCCATCACCCTAATAGGATTCCTAAGTTAACTAATTGTTATAAGTATTATGTTTCGGCAGCAAGCAAAAATTCGATTATCAAATTCCGTAAATTTAACCTTCAAAACCAAGGTAATACTAATCAGCAATCAGCAAATTAGCATGAAAAAATCTAAAACTAATAAAAATTCTTCCCATCTACATCAATGCAAGCATGCGCAAAACCACATCATTCAAGAAAAAAAAAGAGAGAGAGAAAGCTAACCTCAAACAGCTGCTGAGCTGATTCAGTTTCATCACCAGCAGAGTTAGAATCGGAACTGGAAGTGGAGGCAGCAGCTTTACAAGGGTAGACATTGAAGGGCTTTGAGCCAATATAGAGGGAATTCCGGCGAGGTTTTAGGTGCAAATTGAAAGCGGTGAATGGAGATGAAGAGTATCTGGGTAGGGTTTTAGGAGGAGAGAAAGAGGGTTTTAGCAAATGCATATTGGATGTCATCTTCTTCGATTAGCTCATACGTCCTCTTCTCTTATCTTTTATTCTTCTCAATCCTTGTGAATGTCCTAAGTGAAACAGAACTCCATTTTCATCTATATGTATTTCAATCTTTTATTTTCATGAAAAAATATTTACTACTACTATTAGTTTTGGGCCGGCAATTAAAAATTTTGTGTGTATAGCTATTTCCTTTTTTCTTCGATCTCCTGTTCAGCATCTATATTAAAGCTCAATTATTTTGGATTAATGTTGTATAGAGGTTTATTTCTTATACATCCTACCAAACAACTTGTAAAGTCTCTATTTCTTGATAATATAAGCCTAAAAATCTATATAATTATAGCTCATGCCATGCTTGACTAGCCAAGTACACAAACGATCCTACATTTTCTTGTTTCTTTCATATTTTTATTTGTATAAGTATTTCACATTATTGACTAAACTTATGAAAATTGATCCACCACTTCTTATTCTTTACAATTATTTTTAAAAAAATATTTGATTGTGTCGCATAAATTGAAATAGAGGGACTAGTGAAGTAAAGGCATTTTCAATTATTTATATATTTACAAATTATGTTAAAAGTACTATGAATCACAATAATTAATAGCTTAAATTAGTTTTAAAAATTACGATCAAAGAAAAAATTGTTTAACTCTTAAAATTTTATCAGTGTCATATAAATTGAGATAGTATTAGTAATATATATTAGGTTTGTGCTTATATATCTTATACAGTATATAATACAAAGTTAGGAATAGATAAAGTGATGTAACACATCTCGATAATTAACAATGATATTTCTTCTTCTTTTTCCTCATTTTTTTATACAATAAAATATAGGGAAAATTGTATAAAATAGTAAACTATTAATTCAAATTAAATGTTATAACACAGTTTCATTTAATTGTAATTTGTAGCAAACAGTTGTCATTCGCCTCTCTCCCCAGCGAATCACGCTCCCCACTCTCCCAGATCTCGTTCTCCATTCTCCCTTGCCTCTCTCACTTTATACAAACACAAATGTATAAATTGCGTTTATGTTTGTATAAAGCGAGAGAAAATTATATATACAAATACATATATTTTCGTCCTATATACTTATAATTATACAAATACAGATCTTCACCTACCAGTTTTCTTTTCCCTTTCTCTTTTTCTCGCTTTATACAAACATAAATTATACAAATTACAATCTATACTTTGTGTTGTATAAAGCGAGAGAGAGATTTGATATACAAATGTTTTATTTCAATTCAATCGTATACAAATTCAAATATTATGCAGATATACAAACACAATCATTGATACATATACATAGTAGCTACATATATACAATTATCTAACCGATATACATATACAATCGCTGCGCTTTATACAAACGAGAGGCTGCCAACGATTTATACAAATCTGATGCTTATGCAAACTATAGTTATATAGCATACAAATATATTTTTATGTTTGCTAAACATAAAATTTACTCAAAAATATATTTGCATAATGCACTAATTAATTTACAAAAGTTTCTTTTAAATAAATTTTGTCAAACAAATAAAATAATATGCATTAAAATTATAATTATAAAATATTCATCAAATATTTCTTATATAAATTTCATTAATAGAATTAGAGTTAGATGACCAATAATTTTTATTATTATGTCTTTTTAAAAAGTAACTTATATAAAAATAAAAGATTTTCTCTTTTAAATACAATGTTTGATATGTCATTCTAATAGTAGTAGACTTGTGTTTTTCATTAGATAATATGAAAATTTTGTTTTCCAAAATAAATCCACTATTAATAATCAATCACAACAATAATTCAGTGAAATTTCTTAAGTAGTATCTAAAGAGAATAGAGTATACTCAAATGCATTTTTCTTAATTGACATATACAAATTGAATAACTATAACATACTCATTATAAAATCAAGCCATCAACAGAGAGAAAGTTAATACCATTAACATATACTAGACGAGAGATGAAGTCAAGAATTTGTTTCAGAACTTTTGTTTTTAATGTAGCTATTTATATATATATATATAGTTGCATTCTAGCTAGCTATTCAGAAACGGAGTTGGGATTCTGAGTTTATGAGTTTTGGATTCTAGAAGATAAGAGCTTACTAATTAATTATACATATAACGCGAATATTTAAACACAAATGAAGTAATTGTGAAGCTGTAGCTCTGCCCCTAATCATAACACACTATAAGCTTATATAGGAACATCAGAAGGATATTCTTTTGGGAATCTTCTAACAGCATCCTTAACAAATTTCTCTTGGTCTTGAAGATTTAATGGCATTTTGTCATAAACATCTGTAAACAAATCTGTCAATGAAGGTTTCTCCACCTTCTCTGCTGCTTGAATAGCTTCCAACACCTGATTCAAGAAGTAGTTATAAGTATTTAGCAGATATCAGATGAAGATCAATGTTGTTCTGCCAATATTGAACCTGTTTTCTGATGTCTCCGCGAAGTTCCGATTCATTTTCATCATTCCACCAGCCATTTCTTTGAATGTATTTTCTGAATTTTGATATTGGACTTTTTTCTGTTTTCCAGTGTTCGATTTCCTCCACGGGTCGATACTTGGTTGAATCATCAGATGTTGAATGGTGAGCTACTCTATATGTCATGGCCTAAAAGTTACACAAAGAATGTCAAGTCTAGTACTTATAAGAGTGATTTATGTTTAACAATTTCAAGATTCAGTCCAGATTTTGCAACATTGTGTTGTAACTTGAACTCTGATGTGAGTTTTTACCTCTACTAATATTGGCCTTTGTTCCTTAATTGCCATTTTGCGAGCTGCACGAATAGCACTATAAGTTGCCAAGGCATCGTTGCCATCTACACGAATGCTTCTAATACCATACGCTTGTCCTTTAGAGGCGATTCCATCACCTGACATAACAAGACATCAGAAAATCTACCTTGGAGAAAATTCCTAGTAAAAGGTGCATTGTATATCAAATGAGTTTTAGGAAAATACTTCGAAATTGTTGGTTTATAGGAGTGCTAATGGCCCATCCATTGTTGCGGCATATAAAGACAACAGGAGCATCCAGTACCGCTGCAAAGTTTAATGCAGCATGGAAATCTCCCTGCAAATTACATCACGAAAAAATCAGCCAATTGACGTAGAATTTGCCTAAAAGTCGCGTTATTTTGCTTAGTTTAATTACCTCACTGGTGCTACCATCTCCAAAGTAAGTGACCGCGCAAGCCTCCTTTTTTTCCATTTTGAGGGAATAAGCAACGCCCACGGCCTGAGGAATCTGTGTTCTGAGGAAAATGGAATTTGGAGCAGAAAATTGTTTAGATGGAATATCCTGAATCTTAAGGGAAAATGCTAAAAACTTTGAGATTCTTACGCGATTGGCGAAGAAACAGTTAAGTAATTGAGCTCATTAGAACCATGGTGGCATGGCATTTGCCTTCCTTTTCCATAATCAAACTTGTTTCCGAACAATTGATTGGCAACCTGTTCCAAGGGGTAACCGCGCCATAATATAACCCCTACTTCCCTGTACTGCAATGTACAACAACATATTGAATTACATCATTTCCCGGTTGTAGGATCATGAAACTATTGTTAAAATCTATTAGAACAAAAAAAATGCTACTAAACATGATACAAGAAAGTGCCAAAATAAAAAGATTACACTTATTTTGAACCTACGATCTTGAATTCGTCTGTGAATAACAATAATAATACCTGAGGTAACACGAAGTCGTCTAAGGAGAGAGCAGCAGCAGATGCTATGTTGATAGCTTCTTCTCCAGCAGTTGTGAGATAAAAAGACAACCTCCCCTGCCTTTGTGCTTCATAAAAAATGGTATCCATAGTTTGAAGTGTCACCATTGAACTATACATCTTTATTGCCAATTCTTTGCTGACCTAACCAAATAAATGCATCAAATTTCAATTCATTTTATTATTTTTGTTTTCAATTCAATAGAAATGAGTTTTGAAATTACCCCCTCAAAGATTGTCCCTGGAAGTGGATAACCATCATCATCAAGAACTCTATAACAAGGTAATCTCTTTTCAGACGACTCCGAAATAAACTTCATTTGAGAAGTAATTGGAACTTTTCCACCAGGAAAATCCATCACCTGCCAATTCCAACATTAATTACATGAATCATCATTGTACGTGTCGTTACAAATAAAACTTGATCAAATGATAATAACCTGAAAATCATCATCATTTTCAGCAAACAGAGAAGATTGTTCTTTCAATGATAAAAGTCTTGTTGATGAAAAACCAACAAGTGTAATAGATTGGCTAAATGCTTTTTTACTAACTATTCTATGAGTTTGTTTACAATTGGAGAAGAGGATTTTTAGGAATCCCAACATATTATATGAAGTAGTAAAATTAATGGATTCATGAATTTCGAAGGAACAATAAAAGGAGACATTGTTTTGTAGTGTTCACCAATGACAAGTGTAACATGTATCACATGGCTGCCTACACATGACGGAGACGTCAAGAAAGGGTGATTATATATTTGATTTAGAAGAAAATTTAGATATTTTATGTTAAATTTCTAGAAGAAAAATAACTTGACTGGTTAATATCATCCGTCAAGTTATTTTTTCTTGTTCTATTTTTACAAATATCTCATTTTTTTGGTAATTTTTAATTTCGACTTTTCATAGGATATATTAAGATCACAAAAAAATATTAAAAATATTCTAATACATTCTCATATCTTTAGCTTAAGATTATACCGTTAAAGTTTCTTCTTTATTTTCTTAAACACAGTATCAAGTTAGAATTAAATAAATAAATCAAAACAGAAAGCATGCAATATTATCAACCAGTAGCGGCTCTACAGCTTTGAAAAAAAAGCAACTGCGTTAAGGCCCAAAAATTTGAGGGGCCTCATTTTTTAAAAATACAATAGGTTATACATATTTTTTTAAAAATATTGCGTATAATTTGTATAAAATATAAATTTTTCATAAAAGAGCAAGGAAGTAATAGAAGTTTGACAAATTATGAGTACTACTCCCTCCGTCCCTATTTAGTTGTCCACTTTAGAAATGACACACATATTAAGGCAACAATGATTAGCATAGTGAAGTTACAATTTTGCCCTTATTAATTATGATTCCAAAATAAATTTATTCAAGATAACTAATCAATGTTGGGGGAAGTTTAAATGAGGGTATAATAGGAATTTTTTTTTTTTGTCATTTCTTGATTTGTCAAAATGGACAAGTAAATAGGAACATCTAAAAGAGGAAATATGGACAAGTAAATAGGGACGGAGGGAGTATGTCTCAAGAAAGATTAAATAATTGGCTATAATAAACTTCATAAAAAATATATATTCGAATTTAAGGCCTCCATTCAGATTTTGCTTTAGACCATCAATTTATTAGAGCCCCCTGTTAACAACCGAACTAAAGAAGAACTTAGTAGCTCAATTGATTGGCTCTTGACAGTAAATATTATATTCCCTATTTGGCAACCTCTTTCCCTTTTCCATTTTCCTTACCCAAATTAGAAAAAAAAAAAGATAAAGTATTTACGGAATTAAAGACGAATAAAAATGATTTAACAACATCTTACCTAACAATCTGACAACTGAATTTATTGTATACATAAAGACAATTAAAATCGATTTCATAAAAGTCTAACCTAACTAAAAGAGTAACTACTCTTTTGGGAATTAAAGTCTATTAACAAATTATTATTCTTAAGTTTGCGTTTGGACATATCATATAAAGGGATATAAAGTTATGGTTTTAAATTAGTGTCTCAATATGCAATTTGGGGCCATAAATCTAAAATTTCAAATCATGATTTTAATTTTTTTAAATAAAAATCTTGATTCATAAATTTACATTTTAAAAAAAAAGTCTCATCAGTCTAAATTTTGCAAAAGAAAAACTCATGCTCGACATAGAAATGATTTATACCATGTGAAAAGATTATATTAAAGAACAACTAATTACTATTATTATTGACTAATGAATCTTTATAAAATTATGTATATTTAAAAATTTAATTTCGAAGACTTACTTATAAAATAATTATGATATTTTGATCCCTTTGCTATAAACTATAGTTTAGTCATTTTATGATATTTTGATCTCTTTGCTATAACAATTATGATATTTTTATATTTGTTAAAACAAATAAAATTTTAATTTTTTTAAGATCAAATATTCAAACAAAATTTGAGCTTGATATCATAATTTCAAATAATAATTTTATATGACAAGATCCAAATGACCCTAAATCAAACTCTCTGTATTTTTTTACCCAATATTTCCTCAGAAGTCAGAACTGAGATTTGATTTAAGGTTTTTTTTTGTGTGGCTATCCATTTATAATTCACTCCAAAAAGTGTTTATCTTTTGCAATAATCAATTGTTTTTTCAGTCAAAATTGATGTAAAAAGGACTATCTCTGTCATGTCATTATAATGGCCCACCCCACCTAATTTATATTATTTTATTACTATTGACACATGATTTATTTCTTAATCGGAATAAAAAAAATAACTCACGTTGTATCTTATAATATAAAATATATATTTTTTACCTCTTAAACGTTACACGTCATGAAGGTATTCAATAGTAAAAAGAGTTGAACCATAATGGAGTGTCGTTTGATTGGTGAAATAAGATATATTAGAATATTTTTAAAATTAACATAGCTTATAAAGAGTATATTATTTCACTATTTATATGAGATAACTTATTTCACTGTCTATCATTAAATGATAAGGTAAAATAATTCTAATGTATTTGATACTAAAATTATACTTTCTTATTTCACCTATCAAACGATCTAACGCTTACACTTGGCAAATGTAATTATTTTGTGTTCTTGGATAAATGCGAAACTTCTTTTCAAACATCTCAAAATGAAACACGTCAAGGTGATGGTGAGTCACTTTTGTTCAAATCGCCTAAAACCAAACTTTCTTGAATTATTATTATGACTTTTTTTCATTATTATTATTATTTTAAAATTAAATAAACTTTTTAACTTAGAATCTATTAAAGTTCCTGAAATTTCGAATTCAAATTCTCAAAACTAATACTACTATGTAACTTCTTATTATCTTCCAATTTTATTATATATATATATAATTATTCGATATTAATGTAGTAAAACAAATTAAAGTGTGCAGAAATTTAACTAAACATTACTATTATTTTTAAAAAATGATTTTTTTGGTAAATTAGGAATTCAAAAGTTGTTTCGATCGATCACATGTTTAAATTCCAAATATGACATTTTAATAGTAGTTCTTTTTCATTGATATAAATTTCTGATTTTGTCGCTAAAAAAATTATCAAAAGGAAATAGTAAAACACATTACCTGATTTTCAACTTCTTCATAGTCAATTGTATCTAGCTGCTCTCCAGCTTTACCGGACTGGTAACGTTCCGGCCGAAAAATGGCGGCAGACTCGCCGGAAAAACTCCCCGTCGGCTTAATAAAACCACCACCGCCGTTGCCGGAAGAAGTTGTAAATGGTGAGAAGAAACGAACCCTTGTGTTTAGAAGAAAATGGTTAAATTTTGTTGATTTTGAAATCAAATTTGCCATTGATAATAATTTTCTTCAACAAAAAAATGGTTAAATGGAATGTGATAATAAATGAGGCTCAAAGGGAGAAGTTGATATGCATTGGCTAAATAGTTCTATCTTCTTCTTTTTTGTGAGTGTGTATATTATTTATAAGTAAATAAGACCATAGTCATAAATTTGGATTTTTTTATCATATTTTATTAGGAATATGAGTAGAATTAATTAAGTGATCAAAAGAGGTCAAAATTTGAATAAATAATAATAATAATAATGTCATAATTTTTTTAATTTTGAGGAGCCAATGAGGACCATCTAGACTTTTCTTACTCTAATAATAAATTTTTATCAAAAAAAAATAAAATTCAACTGTTTAAATCATTGTAAATATTATTATTTCTTAATTATGGATATTCATAATTTTTAATTACTTCCTTTAATTATTTATTTTTAGAGTCAAACAATAATAAAAAATTGATTAGTATTTTACGATGTATTTTTTTTCATTATATTGTATGCAAAAACTTGTAATTTATAATACTTTTCAGATAATTTTTTAATATCTAAATCTTTAGTTTAAAATATTAAATTAATGTAATTTAATTTAACTTTGAAAATTATTTAAATTGACTTTCAAAAATACAATATGACAACTAGAAAAGAACAGATGGAGTATAATTCCTCCTTATGAGTTGTAATACTTACACGGTTACACCATCACCTCCTTTGTAGAGATTAATATCATAAATCATAATTATGAGATCTTTTGATATTCCCTAATGTATTCCAAAAAAAAAAAGTTTTAAGAATGTCGTTTTAAATATTTGAAAAAAGAAAATAAAACTTATCTTCTATTGTTTCTCTTATTTTTATATTGTTGTTCTTAATCTATAATATTTCTGCTTATTCTACGAATAGCAACCTTTTTTTTTTCAGGAACCAATAATAACCTTAACTTCTTCAACCTTTTATACATTTATATATCTTTTCTAGGTAAGTATGATTTTTTTTATTGAAAATTAAGTGTTATTCGTTGATAAAATTGTTATTTTATTTTTTTATTTTTCATTTACTATTTAATGTCAAAACTAACCAAATTCACACGTTATTTCATTTTTGAAGATGACGCTTCCAATCAAATATTTTCATCATAGGTATACAATTTTACTTTTCTTATTCTCTTTAATTTCAGGTCCACCCCCCTTCCCCCACATTTTTTTGAACATATGAATTTAATTTAATACTCTGCCCCCCTACCAATTTTTTGGTTGTAAAATAAATGCGCCCCAAATTCCTATGAATAATATTTTGGCCGCTGTACATAAAATTTTTTGCATTATAATATCCATTGATAGAAACTTATGTCACTATTTATATACATTTTTTTATTCTCTAAAACATCTAGTTGACAACTTTGAAATCTTTTTTTCTACTATATTCACCTACATTAAATAAATAAATAAAATATATAACCAAAATAAATAAATAAATAAAGAGAATGAAAAAGAGTCTTAACTTAAAGAAAGAAAGGAAAAGTTCAGATTATTAATTGCACATGTACTGAAAGTACTTGTGAAATAAATAAACTCAAGGTATTAAAATTCTTCAAATAATATTAACATAATTTTAAATTTATTTTTTAACTTTTAATTATACTTAGAGTGAAAACTCCGGAAACTTAATGCAATATGAGATTATTTTCTACGGATGATAGTAAATATTAAATCAAAATTTTAACGAGAAAACAAAATTGCTCAATTTCAAATAATACATAAATAAATTGACCCCAATCTATTTCTTTTTTTTAAAAAAATATTTCTTTTGGTATTGGAATTTTATCAAAGTCTTCATCTAGCTAGATATATCTTCTTAGTTCTTTCCCAATGTTTAGGTGACATAAATAATTTTGTCTTAGCACCTAGCTTTGTTTTCATCGTCGATTATATACTCTTGTTTTTCTCATGTTTTAAAAAGAGTCATATTTTTATCAATATAAATCGTAGTGAGATAGTTGAAATTTATTTATTGTTAATCAAACTTTTTAATTTCAAGCACTTAGAGTGAAAAAGAAAATCATATGAAAAGCACTTCATTAGAAATGAACCTTGCAGTAAACAATTTAATTGAATCTCAATATAATTGTCGGACGGAGTGAAAAAAGAAAGAAGTCATCTTCAATAATATATATATATATATATATATATATATATATATATATATATATTATTACTATATAAGAAGAGGGAATAACCAACCACAACAACTCAACATGTGTTCCAATAAGAAGAGGGACCAATATATTTATAAAAAGAAATGACATATAAAATAAAATAGAGAGAGTATTATTTTGGAAAATGAAAAAGGACAAAACACATATAAAATTAAAAGACATAAAAAAAAGTTGGTTTAACTCTCAAACATAAAAAGTAACATAAGTTATTAAAAACTTTAATAAAAAGTACTATAATTTACAATAAATAATAACTTAAAATATCTACAAGACAAAAAAAAAGAGACTAATTTTTGTACTGCTTCTGTCACATAAATTAGGATTGGGATGATTTTAAAATTTTAATTTTGGTTATACATTATAAAATAGCCCAAAAATTGAATGATATGATTTTTTTAAAAATAATCGAATGAATCGTCCTATCGATAACCCTAATGTTACTTCTACTCTGTTTATTTTTACTTAAATTTAGAAAGATATGCTTCATTTCTACCCTCAATCTTATCGCTACATTTATTTGCTATTTAAAATTGAAATTAAAAAGACAAATTACAAATAAGTTTATATATTAGCTCACTTATGAGCAAAATATATTATAACAATCTTTACTAATTTTATAACAATACATAAACTATACTCCCTCCGTCCCATATTAGATGGGCACTTTCAACTTTACACGGTGATTAAGAAATCATTAATACATTGAAAGACTTCGCCATTTTGCTCTTTGTTTATATCAATGCACATTGAAATGAGTTACAAAAAATACACATACAATATAGGAATGGTCATATTAATTGTAGGGGTAAAATGGAAAAGAATTAATTAATTCTATCCTAATTTAATAAGTGCTCAAATAATATGAAAAAAATATTTGTAGTAAGATTCTCATCTAATATGGGACGGAGAGAGTATTAGTTTTTGAAAATGGAAAAGGACAAAACACATACGGAGTATAAAATTAAAAGACATAAAAAAAAGTTGGTTTAACTCTCAAACATAAAAAGTAACATATGTTATTCAAAACTTTAATAAAAAGTACCATAATTTACAATAAATAATAACTTAAAATATCTACAAGACAACAAAAAAAAGACTAATTTTTGTACTGCTTGTGTCACATAAATTAGGATTGGGATGATTTTAAAATTTTAATTTTGGTTATACATTATAAAATAGCCCAAAAATTGAATGATATAATTTTTTAAAAAATAACCTAATGAATCGTCCTATCGATAACCCTAATGTTACTTCTACTCTGTTTATTTTTACTTAAATTTACAAAGATATGTTTCATTTCTACTCTCAATCTTATCGCTACATTTATTTGCTATTTAAAATTGAAATTAAAAAGACAAATGACAAATAAGTTTCTATATTAGCTCACTTATGAGCAAAATATATTATAACAATCTTTATTAATTTTATAACAATACATAAACTATAATCCCTCCGTCTCATATTAGATGGGCACTTTCAACTTTATACGGTTATTAAGAAATCATCAATACATTGGAAGACTTCACCATTTTGCCCTTTGTTTATATCAATGCACATTGAAATGAGTTACAAAAAATACACATACAATATAGGAATGGTCATATTAATTGTAGGGGTAAAATGGAAAATAATTAATTAATTCTATCCTAATTTAATAAGTGCTCAATTAATATGAAAAAAATATTTTTAGTAAGATTCTCATTTAATATGGGACGGAGAGAGTAACAATATAACTTTATTAATATTGGGTCCCGGGCAGCGCCTGGGCTTTCTTTACTAGTATATATATATATATATATATTTATAATGAATAGGTGGAAGATATGAAGCCATTTTTTAAAAAAATACTCCTAGTTTTTGGATAGGTTTCAAGTCATATGGGTATAGGTAGAGAGAGATAAGAGTGACACGTAAAATAGTGCATTTTTAGCATCCATGACTTTATACATTTGTCCATATTCACGTAATTGAAGAAACTAATAAATTAATGTATAGTTTATTTTAGTTTGATAAGTAAGTAATATATAGAATTATTTTTTACATACATTTACAATATCATATACTTTTTTTTTGTCATAATTTATATAATATATTTTTTTAGCCTGTTTAAAATATAATGATATATTTGATAAATATTTAATGACTGTATCAACATTTTATTCATATTAAATCTCACTTATTTGACAAGAAGTCAATAAAGATTTACTCTTTCCGATAGTACCTTTAGATATTACAAGATTTTCATATTTAATTAAAATTTCATACCAAATCAAACGAAAGAAATAATGCTTTTCTTTAAATATTTGTCTAGGCACTTTTGTGATCCTAATTATTACAATGTGATTTTGAATTATGGGTGTTCATTTTTTGTACTGTTTGGTTTGGACTTTTTAATTTTTAGTTTTGAAAAAGTATAATCCAATCTGAACTAAAATAAGTTTATTTTGTTTGGTTTAGTTTTTCTTTTTTCGATTTGATTTTTTCGGTTTGGTTATTTGATTATGTCCATAATTAACAATATAATAAAAGTTATATTTGCAATTTGAAAAACTATAAGTACAAGGAGAAATAGTACTAATATTGAATCTCTTAAATTTACTTTCTTGTCCCGACCCATACCATCGTGATTGGCACCCACACTAACTCTCCGGTGGGAGAACCACTACTACAACTCAAAAAGCAACTAAACCACAACTAAGGCATTTAAGTTACGGAAGCAAGTTAAATACTAAGGAAATAAATAGAGTTCCCATAAACTCTAACAAAAGTCTAACAGTAATAAACTAACAATGCGGAAGTAATGCCTAGAACCTGAAAGTCAATGTACCAAAACATCTAAAGTTCAACAAGTCTAAACAAGAAAGGATGCAACCCCAATCTAATGAACT